ATTCCTGCTCCAGACTAAAATGAAACATAGTGGTTTTCAAATGCACAATTCCTCAAAAAAACCTGTGGCATCATAGTCACACAGTGTTCAGAAAGGCTTCCATTTCGTTATACAGATACTCAGGTCGGTTCACGTAGACGTAGTATTCAAACATCTCAAAGTGATCTCTGTGTTTAATGCTCAGAGTTTACCTGAAAAACAGGGTCCTTCCAGTCCTTGTTTTTCAGATGGAGACCTGAAGCTGAGGATAAATTAACTGACTGGACAGTACTGCTTGGAAAACCTGTGGGTTAAGCTGGGAGTTGAACTGCACATGTCTTGAAGGCTGTTTGGGTGAACTTGAACGCCTTTGGGCTAAAAGGAAGGAAGGCCCAGGCCTGCCCTTCTTCCCTTCTCTCTGTTCTGTGGTTCACTCTGCTTCTTTGCTCTCTTCCACAGTGAAGTAAGACAAAGTCTGCAGAGTGGTCCTGCGTATTGCCGCTGGTATTAACATAAATCACAGCAAGTGTTATTCACATGTATAATTACATAGTTTCTGAGTTACAGTTATCTGAGCTTACGGCTGTAGAATGCTATTTTCCCCATCATAATTAAGCAATCAGCATTTCAGAAAGTGAAGCAATTTGCAAGTTCAATTACAGACAATATTGCACCAGAGAGAGTTTGACTGTGGAACAGAGATGGCAGATGTCAAAGGGACTTTGTATCCTGCATATTACAGTAGATTGTTTGCGACCAACGTCAATGATATTCTGAAGCCAACTGCAGTGAGGACGATCCTCAGTGGACATTCATACAAAATGAAATGGTCTCAATTCACGGGTAAGATTTGTTCTCTGTTTTCTTAAGCATATTACAAACTTACTGTAGACATTGCCAAGAAAAAATACTTTGTGATCAGTTCTTTCCATTACAGCTGTCACCTTTTATCTTCAGATACATATTAGAAAGATTTAATGATATGATTAGATATAAGAAGTCAGAAAAGAAACACACCAGGCAAAAACAGATGGACAAAATAGATTCACCTTTTTTCCTTTTTTTTTTTTTCTGCTCACACATTGCCTTAAAAATCATCTAAATCCTAAGTCTTTGATGAAACTTTCAAAATAACCTGTGAGCTTTATATATTTTAAATTGTGGATTTAACTGGCTTTTCTTTTTCACTCACCCTTGCCGTGTAAATTTGATCAGACTCGGACAGAAGCAGACCCAAAGCTCACTACTGTTTGTCGAAATGCTACCATCAACTTCAGTAACATTTGGTTCGAGACCTTACTAAATAATCTTAAGTGCAATGCAAAGAAAGACGAGACTCCAGATGACTCTCTTTTAGCTATGCTGGCAAAGCCAGATCGAGAAGAGCAAACACAGATGTAACCATAACAGAAGCTATGTCAACAGCTACAGTACTCAGTGAAGACGCCTTCCTCTGCGGGCTTTGGAGTTTACTAGCACAATGAATTTATTATTTTTTCCCCTCAAATATCTCTTCTCTAATCTATCTGATTAACTACTCCTTGCTGCCGGCAGCATTTTGCCCTTTCTTAAACCCTCTTTCCCAAGGCGCTGCCAACATGGCTGAGAGGCCGGGCTGTGCCCTGTGGTGAGGCCGCTGGAGCTGGCCAGAACCGGCTGGAACCAGCCCCGGCCTCTCCCCACGGAAGCCCCCCCGGCTGCTCCTCACGGAAGCCCCACAGCCCTCCGTTGGCAGTGCCTGGGCACCGACAGTCAATTCAACATGAAAATTAAGGATATTCTAATCAATCGTTCTGTTTTCAACTTAATGCAAATCCACTTCTGCTCACAGGACGAGTGCCGTCTCAGCACATCTCACCAAGAAGCGACCGCGTAATGTGCCACAGCTGGATGACTTGTAAAGTTTGTCAAAACCACCCAGCTCCCACACAGAACAGAAGATGCTCAGATGTTGTGTTTGATGATTAATGTTGGTATTTTTTTCTTCTCTGGACTCACTAGACTGAAGAAATCTGTGATGAATATCAGCCGCAGGATATCTGATTGTCAAAGCACACATAAGCAATTGGCAAGAGTTTTGTGCAAGTCAAATAAGTAATAGATCAATTTTAATGTTTTTGTTGTGCAACGGAACAGGTCTGTAAAATAAAAGAGCAAGTGGCAAGGAGAAATACGGAGTGCCTAATGTATTCTTAATCACAGACCAATACCTCCAAATTATAAATCTGTAGCTGAACACTTGTCTATAAATTATAAATTATATATAACACAAGCTTTTATCTAATTCTAAAAACGTATCTGAAAGTCTGGAAACGCCTTTAGATGCCTCTTTCCATATTTTAACATCTACATACCTTTCAAAATCCGTTCTCCAAATGGGAAGGAAGCTTCTCAAAGAAAGGGATTTTGACTCCTCTTTTGAATATTTTACCCATTACCTTCTAGGTACGAAATGCATGGCGAAGTACCCTCGCAGTCAGGACTGCCCGCTTGCCCACACAACTGTTATTCACACTATGAAGTTCCCATGCCATTGTTTTACAACAGAAATCTAATCCAAACTCATACAGACCTAACTGAACCAGGTTCTGGCTTTATCCCCATGCTGCTTCTCAGCCCTATGGATTTAAGTTCTGTTTGCGCTTTAGTTGCTACCAGTCCTTTTGTAGCGTGGACGCAAAACCCTTTCTCCCCCCCGCACTTTTAGTTTGGAAGCTCAACCTTATCTGCCAGTCGCTTGGCAGGGAGCTGTCAGTGGCTGTCCCACCTGCTGCCTCTAAACCTCATCCTCTATTGCAGAAAGGAAGAGAAAGTCCACACAGGGGACTCCAGAAATGTCCCCAGCTTTCAGGCTTTCACCTACAGCAAAGCGTGAAGCAGCTTCTTAGCAAGCGGTTCCACAGGACACCTTGAATGGCTGCTCCATACGACCTGCAGGGTGGTGAAATTCATGCAGAGATCAAAGACGAATCACCAGACTGACAGTCAAGTGAAGTCAACAAAATCTGGTATTTTTTCA